GGCATACATGCACGAACACAGGGTATTTTTTTATTCCAGCATTCCAATCGGCGGCCAGCGACGAGCGGCCAGCTACATTATTACATTTTTTGCATGAATAGGGGGATCGATGCCCTCCGACTCCAACGGACGATTTGCATGGACTTGCGTGCGTGGTTGTGCTGGTTACTTCGGGTGTTTGTGTACTACCGCCCTGAAGTAGTTGGTCTGCAGGCCCTAGTTGTCGCTTCGGGGGAGTGCACCCACACCCGGCCCTGTTTTCATTGCTTGCCAGCTACATATGTTTCCTTTTTGCAACGAAGGCTTCCCGCGAAAACATACATGAATACGCACTGGAGCACATGTTCCTCGCATCTCGAGAGGCCTTTTTGGCCTGGGCCGGCTACTACCCCCTCAAGGCATACATGCACGAACACAGGGTATTTTTTTATTCCAGCATTCCAATCGGCGGCCAGCGACGAGCGGCCAGCTACATTATTACATTTTTTGCATGAATGAATTGCAGGTCCCCATTTCTTATGTGTTATGCTGGTGTGCACTGACGGCACGGACCCGAACAATACATCGATAGAGCCCTGTTTGCAGCTGGTTGCTGACGCATTACCTGCACCTTGGTATGCAGTAGGTTGTATCAACCTAATCGCATCGCATTTTTTCTGTTCTTTTGTCGTACGGCACGGTGCACAGGTTCAGCCGTAGCAGTCGTACAGTCACCGTAGCTTCTCGTAGCGCAGCGAAGAGCGAAGCGGAGGGAAGGCATCTCTGAATCGCGTCCGTGACCGGCTCGCGTCCGGAGCTCATTGGAAAGTCGCGCTCGATTGGATGGTTCCGGAGCTTTGCGTTTTCCGTTAGCACGCCCCCTCTTCACAATCAGAGGTCGCGGGTTCGAGTCGCACTCCGCGAATTTCGAGTTGCACACCGAAACGCGAGGACGCGAGGACGACAGGTCGCGGGTTCAAATCACGGGTCGCACGCGAGTTGCACGCGAGGATGCGAGGACGCGAGGACACCAGGACGTGAGGACGCGAGGATGCAAGGGCACATGGACGCGTGAGCGTGTGGGCACGTGGGCACATGGGACTGTGGCACCGTGGATGTAGCCACACGTGGATGTAGCATGGACGCGTGGACGCGTGGACGCGTGGACGCGGGACATGAGGATGTAACATGGGCGTGTGCATGAAGCGTGGACGCGTGCATGTGAACCTTGAACATGTGGGCGGGGACACACGGATACTGGGCCATCAGGCCATGGGGACGACTGGGTGCGGTGGTGGGTAACGAACAACAGACGCGCGTAGTTGTGTTGTTCGACTTGAACTTGCAAGGTTAAACGTTTATCACAAAATATTAGGATAACCAGGTACGCCTGGGCGTGGCTGTGGGTATATCCATGTAGTTCCACTGTGGGACAGGACTTGCAGTGGAAAACTAGACTACAACGGCTCCGCCACGAAATGATGTGAAGTCGCGCACACCGCAACATTCCCCGGGATAAATACAGTCGCAGAAATTCTATAGAATCATACGGATTCAGAATACATTCTATCAACCAGCGATGCTGTGCAGCACAGTTATTGTATAGAAGTAATGTGTGCCATTGGCCCTCGAGTGCATTTATCAATTTTGTCAAACGGATCCAGGATAAAATTTATCATACGGATTCAGGAAAAAATTCTACAAAACAGCGGTGCTGCGCAACATACATCCATATTGTATCAATGTACTGTGTTCCATTGGCCCACAACTGCATTCCTTGAGGATAGGAGGATAACCTGTCGCGACATCAGTCTGACCGGCCATTTCTATGGACAATTCTGCTTCCGGTAAGGAGTCCTGGTTGAGACTGATGCCCGTGATGTTGCTCCATCTCCTGCATGGGCTGTAGACTAGTAATCCTCTTCCTGACATCATGCAGGACGTCGGCGGTTAGGTACAGTTGCAGGTGGAGGCTCGTGGCTTCTGAGCTTGACAGGCCGGACTCAAGCCACACCTTCCCCCCCGACACCCCAGCTGTCCAGTGCGGATGCAACCAGAAAGGTGCAGGCGCGAGCCAACCGGACGCCTGAGCAAGTGGCGGCGGATCGAGCAGCAGCTGCAGCGTGATGGGCAGATGCACGAGCCAACCGGACACCTGAGCAAGTGGCGGCGGACCGAGCAGCAGCTACTGCTCGGTGGGCGTGGTGGTCGGAGGCGCGAGCCAACCGAACGCCTGAGCAAGTGGCCACGCATCGAGCAGCACATGCAGCTCGGGTAGCAGAGGTGCGAGCCAACCGAACACCTGAGCAAGTGGCGGCAGACCAAACAGTGGATGCAGCTCGAAAGCATCAAGCCCGTGTGATTCGGCAACAGTCATCTGAGGAGCACACACCACAACACACCCGCCGCAGCAGGGGTAGCCTTGTGGAGGCAGTTTTGGATGCTGCCTTCTGGGT